AATAAGAAATTAATATATTTATCGCTAACATATTAACTAGATTAAATCATGTATTTATAAACATATGACTTATTTGAGTTGAAATATTTTCTACGTCTATGTTGATTTGTCAAAAAAAAAAAAAACTAAATAAAAGATTGGTCATTCTTATAAACCTAAATATACCAACTACAACCATTAAAGATATTACTGATTTTATCTGTCTGTAAATTGAAATGAGATGCATGAAACAAAATTATATTTTCGTACTGAATAACCATTCAGAGGTGACTACATAAGATGGAACAAAAGGTCACATAATTTTATTATATTATAATCTTGAGTTACACACTCTTGTTCATCATCAAGAACAAAAAATATCCCCAACTTGTAATTTTGATGTAATCACTAAACAAGTTAGCTTCTACTACATACAATATCTATATTATTGATTTCCTTAAAAAAGCTTTATTTTATCATACCTGGATAAAACAACTAAAAAATAATAAAGAAAATTTAGGATTTAGATGTTAAAAAGGACTAAGGTTTCTACGAAATCCATTTACATTGGTAAAAAAATCCTATCAATCCCTGTCTATAAGGCAAGAATGACTTTCCTTTAGTACTTTCTTTTCGCTTTCTATTTGACACCTAAAGTTTATCGTGAAGTGACAAAATTGTTTTGCTTTTTTTCATCCTTTTTGTTCTTCAAAACAACATTTTTCTCCTTTGCCTCATTGGACCTCATCAGCATTATCAATGAAGGGTTCAAGAAAACAAAAGCATCTTTGTTATCACTATTGCTTCGTAGCTTCAAGTTTTTCTTAAATCTCCTTTTTGTTGAGAACCCTCTGGAGTTGCTCTTTTTGCACTTATCGTTTGACATGTCCACTTCTACCATTGTCAAATTTTGCAATGTATCATGGTAACATACTTTTGAATTTGAGAAAAAACTATTAACTTGCTCAATAAAGAGCTTCTTCAATGGAGGTCAAAGTGGTGAGGGTTCATTGTCGTGTGTGATCGATGGTGAAAATAAGAGATTGGTCAAAGCATGGTAGGTTGGTCGGATCTAGCCATTATCAAAGATTTTCATTCCTCAACAAAGACAAATGGTCCTCCATGTTCGATGCATGCAAAACTAAACTCATGATTGTCATCAATATTTTCTTTATTGTCACAATTGGTTTCATATTTTGCATTAAAATCTGGATTAGGTTTTGCAAGAATGGGAGAGACATCATCATATTTGAGAAATGAGTGCGGCTTAAGAAGAATGGATAAAGATTTCTTTATCAACATCTTAATATATACTTTTGGCATTTTGTTTTGGTGTTTCAAGGTGTGAATTTTCATTGCTAAATTCAATGTCAGAAGTGATTGTGAAATTAAAAATGAAAGTTATATATATATATATATATATATATATATATATATATGTATGTATATGTATATGTATACTATAATATAAGGTTAGTTTTCAGTTGTAAAATGATAGTGCAATGGTTTAGGAATTTTGAGGAAATGGTTGGATAGGGAAAGTGTAGAGAGCCATTCATAACTGCAAGTTGGTGGTCCCTTATGTTAGTTGGATAATTTATTTTTTTGGCTTGTTTTGTTCATACATATTGAATATGGTTTTTCTAAAACTACTTTCTTGTTTTTCTTTTTTTTATGGCTTCTCTTGCTACTATGCTACACTTACACATAAAATAACTAAAAGCATAACGTTCTTAATTATAAATAAAATTTAAAGTTTTTAAAAATCCTATTAGGTACCTAAACTCTTGTTAAATTATTTTATCAATCGTTTTTTTAAATCTTGTCTAGTAAATATGAGATTTTATAGGCTTCAGAATTTTTAAAAATATAGTAAATATGATTTCAATATAAATACATACAAAATATATGCTAATGTTTACAAATAAAATATATTAAATTTTTATTTTTATAAAAAATTAATTTACACAGATATCATAAATAAAAATTAATAATAATATAATATGTATTCTTAAGTTTAAATTTAGTTGTTGGTTAACAGATAAAAATATTTTTAAAAAATAAAGAATTAAGTATTTTAGAAAAAATAATTAAACTATTATATATTGCTTGATGGGACATTAGTCATCTTTGAGGGATAGGACGTGACATGTATTATTCATTGTTGAATTGAAAGCTGTTGAGTTTAGGACATTAGTCATCCCAGAGAATAGGACCCAAAATGATTGCATTTATTTATTTTCTTGAATTTTGTGATTAAGCATGTGAGACTTAAACCTTGTGAGCTTTTGAGTTTTTTTAGGGATAGTTGCATTTCATACTATTCTCTTCTTTCTTGTGTGTTTTTTTTCTCATAGACTTTGTCATTCTAGAATTTGCTTTGAGGTTACATTTTTCATATGTATTCATAAACATAGTAGATGCATTTATTTCATTCTAACTATTTGGCCATATAACCTATCTTGCATTTTCCCCTTTGTTTAGGCCTTTGAGCCTTGTTAACCATTCTTTGATTTTAAGCACATTACAAGCCTAAAGAGAAAAATCATATTATAACTAACCTTAGGGAGTATGAAGTGCATTGATTTCATCATTATTGTTGTGCTTTTAATTAACTGTGGAGGTGTGCAATACAAGGATGAATACTTAAAAAAAATAAAATATAAAATAAATAAATAAAAAGAGAAAAAAAAAAAGAATGAATTTTTTTTAACAAAATGGGGAGTTTTTAAAGAAAAAAAATCAAGAGAGAATTGAGTTGATTACATCATGATTTTCTAGGTACCATGCTATTCCTATTCTCTTAGGTTTTTACTAGTCATATCTTCATTTTTTTTCCTACCTTTACTTTAGCCCCGTTACACTCCTTAATAAAGTCCTTTTCATTCTTGTTTGCATGTGATTTCAAGCATCGAAAAAATAGAAGATTAGCAAGCTTATGGTAATGCATTGTCTATTGAGGTGATTTGAGTGAAACACTTATATCCATTCACTTGAGACTTGTGAGTTATGTACATTATCTTGTGAGGTCTTTTATGCTTTATATGTACACTTGGAAAGGTGGGGAATTAAATAACTTGATTGCTTAAAGTCCTTGATGCCTTATATGTTCTTATGTTGCTAAGCTCAGCAATTGTGATGATTCAATGGAGAATAAGGTTATTCAAAAATTTTAGGTTGAATCTTTTTGTTGGTGTTTCCTTTCTAATGGACCTTGGTTAAGTCTTGCATGAGTAGATGCAAGGTACAAGTGTAGAGGATTTGATGAATTAGATTTTTATGTATATGTTTCCCTTCATATTTGGTATAGAAACCTTCTTTTGTGTATAATTAAATTGAGTTAGACCACTTTTGCTATTTGAGTCTTAATTAGGCTTTAATTCAATTATTTCAGCATAGTGCATATTCTGACATTGTTGTTTAATATTTAGGTTATAACTTGAGCTCTAGACTACGTTTTTAATGTGATTCTTGTTTTGTATGAAAGATAAGAAATGGGAATACAACTTTCATGAAGAAATTAAAGGCTGAATCTTAACGTCCAAAGCCAAAATTTGTGCCTAAATCAAATCTGAAAAGAGGCAAACACGAATTTTGACCATTGTGTAGTATTTAGGTCATATCTCAATTCACAAATATCTAATTGGACTCATTTTAGTGACATTTGAAAACTAGTATAGATTTAATTCAACTTTAGACCATGAAGTCAAATAGACGCAAATCCTGAGCCAAAATCAAGGAGAAAGTTACACATTCATTTTAAGAGATTAGGTGGTTATCATTTAAAATATCTCTCTCCTTAAATTATGGCATCTTTTCAAATTTTAGATTGTGTTCAATTTGATTTTTTGAATTTTTATTAGGATTACTTGTTATTAAGATTAGAATCTTTAGGGGTTTGAATATTGTTCATTTTTAAATTTAAAACCTAAAAGGGGGAGAAGGAGAAAGAGGAAGAACATATTTCGTTTCCTTCTCTCTCTCTTTTCCGTCTTCTTACCAGTTTTTTCAACTTTAGATTTTTATGTTCTTGCATTTGTTAAAGAGTAATTTTGAATTCAATAATTAAGTGTTGTTACTTTTTTCTTGATTCTTGAATTAAGTGTATGATTATTTGATTAATTCCTTTTGTTTTAGATTTTATTATATTCATTTTATTAAATTTTCCTGTCTTAAACTCTAAATTGGTAAATTATTTTGATAATTCTTAAAAAATGACTCTAGTTACTTGCATCGTATTATAATAATTAAGTTTTTATTATTTTGATTTGCATATAGTTGCAGAACAAGGTTAAGTAAGATAGTGGGACAAAGAGATGGATAGGTGTATCTAGGTAGTGAGATTTTTAATTAGGGAATTGATAGGTTGAAGAGAGGGAAAGAGAAAAGGATCAAAGAAAAAAATTATTTTTAAATTTTTTTGTAAATATTAATTTCTATATGATAAAATATAAAAATTAATAATAACAAGACAATGATCAGATTTTAACAAAACAACAAAATTAAATTTTTACATTTTAAAAATGTTAGGACTAAATTTTCAAATGAAACTACTTTTATAGAAATTATATATATATATATATATATATATATATATATATATATATATATATAAATTCTTAAAATGTACGAAAACATACAAAAAGAAAAGAATGTTGTTATTGCTCGTATGCAATGCCTGAACTTGGATAGATTCTTATTTGAGCAATTGGTTATCCAATTACAACTTTTAAATTGAGCTAGGCGATGGTTTCATCAGCTATAGCAATTATCTACTTTTACATGAGACATACGCCGGATCAATTATCGAGACCTTATTGGTTGATTTTAGTTTTTGTGATATAAAAAAAATAGGCATAGTCTAAAATTGTTTTTATTTGTCACAACTAGTGGATAAGTGTATTTTGCAGCATAGTTTTCGGACACTTAATTTTGATCTGGATGTTATTGTAGAAATCCATTAATAGGCAAAAGCTACATAAATAATGACATTACAAACGCAAAATTTGGAAAATCTTTGGTTAATGCAAAAATTGAGCTAATGTGTTCTTGACCATGTAATTTGCAATGATACCATTGGTTTTCTCTGTTGGATGGAATGCGTCCCAAAAGACATATTTGGAAGCATCTATGCAACTGAAAGAACTGGCTCTGCTGCATGCGTATCCCATCTCAAACATTCCAGTGGCACAACATGCCATTGAAGTCACTTGAAACCCTGGAAACAAAATCATTTTAATTATGTGTTATATAATGTTCTAAGAGGAAAGTTTTTTTACACTAGTATAAGTCTAAAAACTTTTACACTTGGTTTAAATCTTTCATTTAACTTATATTTAATATGTTATAATTTATTACTTCACTGATCATTATATATAAGTTAAATAAAAAGTTCAGATTAAGTATAAGAATTTTTAGACTTATACAATATTAAAAGATCATGTCTGTTCTAATTTTATGTTTGAGAGATAAACAAAATCATGCAGAAAAAAAAAATTATAAAGTGAAACATACCATATTGAGCGGGCTTTTTAATAATATGCAACAAAATATCATAGGGATTTGAAAATACTAATCTGATCCCAGGAAGGTCCTTCTTGAGCTTTGTTGTCAATTTGCTGAGTTTATCATTGAACTCCAATGCAACATTATTGTAATTGGCCACACATTCATTCCCACCAACAAAATTTGTTGTTCTCTCCAATGGCAAGCACCCCATGGGAGGTAAACCTCCTAAGGATATCTTCCTAGCACCAATACCATACAGTTTGTGAATGAAATTCTCAGCTATTTCAGCCAAAAAATTTTGATACTCTCTTGGTGTGTATTGTGATGCCCTTCCAGGGATTGCATAATAGTTCTCTAAGAAATCATTTGTTCCTACACTTATTACGTGCAACGCTTTGGCTATGGTCTCATTTGCCCTTCTTTCTCCAAAATAGCTCCTTAATTTCTTTTGGTATCCCTTGTAGTACTCCAACTGCTTCCATAATGGTATCACAGACTGCAATAAAATAGTCAATACATTAATCATCAAATTAATTAATTAATCAATCTATATATGTAAATGGTTTCCATGATTACAATAATCATTCTCTAAGTAGTTCATTTAATGAACAAAATAATTTACTTTATTATTTTTTATATGTTTAAAATACTAAAATCATGCAATTAGTTATAAGATAAAGATGCATAAAATAATTGTTTCAAATTCTTATGTAATTAGTATTCGGCTGTATGTTATAAGATAAAGATGCATAAAATAATTGTTTCAAATTTTTTAATTCAAATCAAATTCAAATAAAAAAATAATTAATTTTAAATGAGAATTTTTATGACCTGTTTCAAGTAGAAACACTTTTAGGAATTAGATCTCTTGTTATCATTGTAAATAGCTTTTCTTTACATTAAACATTAATTTTTAATAATTATTATTTTACTTTACCTATACAGTGCAAGATAAATTTATACCCAAAATATTACACTCAAATTATATAGCTTACAAAAATAAAATAAAAAAACTGAAAAAATATAATATTTAAACATAGCAAATAAGTAATATATAAATCATCTTAAATTTTAAAAATAATATTTAATTTTTTTAATCGAATTGAAACTTAAATCAAATAATCTAATATTTCAATTAATTCCTAAAATTATTCTTTAAATTTTTTTCTGCAATCATAATTTTATATTTCAATGAATTGATCAAATTAAATATTACCTTATATTAAATGATAATATCAATTTTATTTATTTATTTTTGAATGAATCATGATGATAAATAGTAAATAATTTGATATATAATTTAAAAATTTTATACATTCAATTAAGTACATAATTTAGGTTTACACAATAACTCGACCGTTTGATAAATTTTATAATAATCAATCAATTCGATATTTTCTTACAATAACTTTAACAGCTTTCGAATAAGATAAAACTCCTGATTTCTCTTCTAGTCAGGTTTCACGCGTTGTGTAACCCTAATAAGCCATGCTTGCATTTTCTGTTGTGCACCGCTTGATTTATTTTATTTGTATTTTTTTATACTTTATATTTTAATTTTTAAAATTTTAATGGTTCATATTTAGGTTTTTTAAAGAATTTAAATGTTTAGATTAATTTTTTATTATAAAATTTTATATAGCATCTTATTAATTTATACAAATAAATAAGAAAAAAATATAAAATATAATAAAATTATTTTATATATTTTTTTCTATAAATATGCATAAATCAATAATATATTAGTATTTTTAAAATAATGTCATCAATACAAAATATTATATTATTAATTTATTTAAATGTATAAATGAAAATATATAAAATAATTAAATTAAAAAATTTATCGTTTTCTAAATATTTTATTTAAATATTAATTATATTTTTTTAATTATTTATACAAATTAATAATATATTATATTTTTATTAAATGTATCATAACTAAACAGTGCAATGAAGGTCTCATTTAATTATTGGACTATTAGACTTTATTAACATCAGTCTTTAAAATTGAATTCAAGTATTTATAAATAAAAATATTTTATAAAAAAATATAATTATTATATTAAAATTATAAAAATATAATAAATATTTTTTTAATAAAATTTTATTATTATTAGCTGTGGTTAAGAAAATCTTTAATTATTACAGGATTGTGTAGTTTTTAACCTTTTAAAGAATAATTTTTCATCGTAAGAAAATACTAGATGCTTAATAGAGTAACAGAAGTGAAAAAAACACATTAACAAGGAGATAAACAATAATTATAGCTGATTCTGAGTTGGATGAAGGGGAAACAAGAAAGAGAAAGAAGAAAAAGGAAGTAAAAGAAGGTGAAAAGAAAAAAGAAATATAATTGAGGTTTAAATAATAAGAAGGTGGTGTTACTCACGAGGACATCAGAGGTAGCATTGTCATAGCCAGTGGCAGCAGAAGCAAAAGTGACGCCAGTGGCCAAGTGTGAGATATTGTAATTAGGATCTAAGAATGGGGGCACATATGCTTTGATTCCAAAGGCTTCGGATATGAAATCGGTTGCTATTCGGCCATTGCTGAATCTCCCAGTTGCCTTTCCTCCGACGAAGTCCCGCCCATACGGCTCGAAATTGCTCCGAGCCATCGTCGCTATGTAGTTGTTGTTCCCCGCATCCACCGATGAGTCCCCAAACACGATCATCGCCGGAACCCTTCCACTCACCAGGGAGACCCACTTCAGCAGAAGGATGCACAGAATCTGCAATTCCATTCTCTCTCTCTCTCTCTCTGATACCCTAAATGTTACGGACCCCTCTGTCCTATTTATAACACCAAATTTGAAGGGTTTGGCATTAATGGAACTATGAATTTTAGGTAAGGAAGTTGTTGGGATTGGTAATGGCTAAGAGGTGTTTGTGAAATGGGATGCCCATTTGCAGCTTTTGGGGTATCAATGGAAGTTTGAACAGAAATGGCGTGAGAATGACCACCAAAGATTCTTTTAGCATATGAAACAGACTTGCGGAGTGGGAAGTGCGTACTCTCTGAATTCTATTCAGTTGCATGGATGTTTCTCAATGGTCCCTGTAAGTTTTGGAACACTCGTGGTCGGTTAAAATTTAATACACCATCTTTTTCTTTTATTATTAAATATTTAATTAATTTTAAAATTTTAGATAAATTAAAATATATTAATATTATTACTAATAAAATGATTTAATATATTATATAAAGATTTATAATATATTTTTAAATATTTTAAAATAATTTTAAAAGTAAAAGGATTAAATTCAAATAAAATTTAAATTTATAACATCATAGATTTAATTCTATAAAGTTTAAAAATACTGTTATAATTAATTTGTAATAATTTAAGATATATACATACATACCACAACATAAGAATTTATAATAAAAAAAATAAAATATAATATATTTAAAATATTTTAAGACAAGAATTATTGAAGGAAAAAAATTATATATGTTATTTTATCTTACAAAATTATATAACACACAATTTAAGGATAAATAAGCCTATTTTGTGTTTCTGAAAAAAATAAATTATTTTTTAGAATAAATTATGTATAAAAAATAAATATAATAGTTAAAAATAATTTATATATAACTTTAAATATTATAAATGTTATTAATAATAATTTAATTATAAATTATTAAATATATTTATATGTTAAAAAATTTTGTTTATATTGTATTTTAGTATATATTAATATTATATATTATTATTTAAATATAAATATATATAATAATAAAAATATATTATATTGAATAATATCACATAAAATTAGATTGAAAAAAAAAGATAAATAAATTTTCATATGTAAATTTCTATATACTTTATATAGTTTAAAATTTTAATTAAGATTTAAACAGAAAGTAAAAGAGAAGAAAATTTTTATTGAAAATAAAAATGAATCCTTATATCAATTAAAATTACACATGTTGATATAATATAGAATTTATGTATCATATACAAAATATAGACAAATATTATGATAAGAACAACTTTATAATAAACCTAATTTAAATTGTGAAAGATTTCTTTGTTCACCACATTTGTAACAGTTTTTGTACTTTTTTCATCACAATCTTGTATAAGGATCTTTAATCTATTTCGATTGGTAACCTTAGAGACTGCTACATATAACTGACCATGAGAAAAAAAGTGGTTTTGGAAGGAAAATCCCAACATGCTTAAGAGATTGACCTTGACTTTTGTTGATTGTCATTGCAAAAGAAAGAGCAATTAGAAATTATCTTCTTTGAAACTTAAAAGATATCCTAGTATCTGAAGGAGTCAAAGATAATCTTGGTATGAATACCTTTTGACCAGCATTGTTTCCAGAAATAACCTTAGCCTCAAGGATATAAGTTCCCATCAAAGTAATCACTAATCGAGTTCCATTGCACATGCCAGAAGATTGATCTATGTTTCTTAATAGCATAATAGGAACGCCAATCTTCAGCTTCAACTCATGATTTGGAAGACCAGATGATTTAATAGTGTTGAGAAATTTCGGAGTGTGAATATTATTAGACTTGTCAAAATCTGCATCACTCTTACATGTGGAATCCAAACTGAGATATGTTTTTTGTTTTGATGGCATTAAGTCCAACATGTAATCATTTATCATGTCAACAATCTCATTAGTTAGTGCTAGTATAGCAGAAAAAATGAAGGATGCATCATGTTGTCGAAAAAAGATGGATATGTTGACTGCACAATAGAAGCAATTGAATCACCAGTTTCTTTAATGAGTAAATCATCTGGTATTTGAACCATAATTTCGTCATTTAATTGTTCACCAATTGTTCCATTTCCTATACCTAGAATCCAATCTGAATTTTTTTTTAAATCATCAACCTCTGAATTATAACTTCCAATTTGAAGTCTCATATTTTTTGTGAGTTCCAACACTTGACAATGCTTCCATAAATATGAAGAACTAATAGAAGCATAAATGATATCTTGTTTCCTTCCTTTTGGAACTACTGGTAAAATTTGTCTAAAGTCTCTACCAAGAACTACTACTTTCCCCCCAAATGGCCTGTTTAGGCTATCATAATTAGAGAATCTTAAAATATCTCTAAATGTTCTATCTACAGCTTCAAAACAATTTTTATAACACATTGGAGCTCCATCCCATATTATCAATTTTGATCTAATAATCAAGTCAGCTAAGTGACTTCCCTGTTTGATGTTGCAAGTGGAGTCCTCATTCACATTGATGGGAATGACAAATCTTGAATGAGCAGTTCTGCCTCCAGGTATTAATAAAGCAGCAATTTCATTGGATGCAACAGTGAGAACAATTTGTCCTTTAGATCGAATGGCTGCAGATATGGTCTTCCAAATGAAAGTTTTGCTAGTACCACCATAACCATAAAGGAAAACAACACCTCCAGCATTTTCAGAAACAGCTAACATAATTTTGTCGTAAATACTTCTTTGTTCAGATGTAAATTTAGACAATAAATGAATGTGCTCAGTAGCCAGTGCTTCTGTATCATAATTTATCTCATCAAGAATAAGCCTATTTTGTGTTTTTGAAACCATTGTTATGTATGGCTGAGGCATGGTTGGAAAGTCAGCCAAACTCTTATAATTGCTCTCTAGCAATATCTGAATTTCACTAAGTGTAAAATTCTTTAGTTGTTCTTCTGTGAGGACTAAATATACAACAATAAAATAGAAGAAAATCAATTGAATGAACCTCTTATAGAAAAAGTTAACTTTACAATTGAGAAAATTATAATGTTTAAAATTTCAAATTTAATAACAACCTTCACATTGAAGAAGCACTCTTTGTCTATGTAGTATGTCATCACTTAGGTATAGCCATGTTTTGTCCCAAACAGATTCTAGAGTGGTAAGCTGGTGTGATAATAATAAAGTAGTAAAAAGTCTTCTCAAAAAATGAGATGATCCCCATTGGCTCGCTTCTTGAATAGCATCTACATACTCTTTATCATCATCTAAAAATCCCAGTGCATAACATACATCCTTGAATGTAGGATATGTTTCATTGTTAATTGTTCTAATATCTGTGTATGATTGGGGAGCTTTTACAACATTTAACAATATTCTCATATAATATAGCTCACCAGATCCTGGAGGAACAAAATGTACTCTACCAATACTGAAGCCCTTCTTTCTAAGAGTCCATTCATGCTCAGATTGCTTCCAGACAAATTTTGTGGGAAATTCAGCATATGTTAAATTTTGAGTTTCTAAAAATCTCTTATTTGCTTCCATCCATGCAAGAAATTTAGATTTGTAGCAATTTGCTTTGGTAAGAGCTTGATCAATTGTCTCATCATCTTCAAATAGAATGACATGTTCGTCAGGCAAGTGAATTGGTAGTCTTTCAACAAAAGGTTCTCTATAGTGAATATCAAATGCAAATATCCTCCAAGTTGCTTCGCAAGACGACAAATACCTACCATAATAAATTATATATTTTAAGAATGGATTAAACAATTAAAAATTGATCCACAAAATGTTATACCTATTTTATATGAAATGTAGCAACTATGATTTAAGTTAATTAAAAAATAACAAATTAAAGTACCTGTAATAATAATAAAGTCTTATTTCATCAATAGGATTGTAAGTATTGTCAGTTGTAGCACTGTCATAAAATGTTGCCGTGACACGATCGTGACCCTTATTAACATACTTGAAGAGGTATTTGATTGACCTTGACTGATTGCACCATTCAACATTAATATGTGCATTATATCTTAGCAACAAAGTTCTATTATATGGAACAACATATCTATTGTTAATGATGAAATGACCTTTCTTGAAAAATTTTCCATTGTCTCTTCTTCTATAAACAGGATAGCTATCTGCATCAATGTTAGTCCTCTCAACAAATTTTTTTGGAAAGAATTTTGTACATCTTCCATTTTTCATGCAAGGTGAATTTCTATTTTGGTGACCACATGGTCCATGAATCATTAACGACTGCACTATTTAATTATTTTTAATATAACAGAAAGATAAAAAAATATTAAACAAAAATTTTGATTATTTTTTAAAATAAATTATCTATAAAAATAAATATAACAATTAAAAATAATTTATATGTGACTTTAAATATTATAAATATTATTAATAATAATTTAATAATAAATTAGTAAATATATTTATATGTCCCAAAAATTTGTTTATATTATATATTAGTATATATTAATATTATAAATTATAATTTAAATATAAAAATATATAATAATGAAATTATATTATATTGAATAATATAAAATATAAATAGATTGAAAAAAAAAGATAAATAAATTTTCATATACTTTATATATTTAAAAATTTCAATTAAGATTCAAATAGAAAGTAAAAGAGAAGAATAATTTTATTGAATACAAAAATGAATCCTTATATCAATTAAAATTACAAATCTTGATATAATATAAAATTTATGAGTCATATGTAAAATACAGACAAATATTATGATAAGAACAACTTTATAAAATTTTTATAATAATATTTAAACTATTTAAAAGTTTAAAATTAATTAGGATATGTTAATATTATTAATAATGAAAATATTAGTTATTTGAAAGAAAGAAATAAAATATTTAAATTAATTTTAAATATTCTCCTGTAATGTATGGATGTTATAAAGATAGGCAAGAGTTTTCTAATTAATTTTATATGAGTTGGTTTAGTTACATAACAAATATATTAATATCAAAAGTTAAAGTAATAATAAAAAG